ATCGGAAAAGCATACAGGTGCCGCGGGACAATGGACGCTTGCCATCTGGTGCGTAGTTGTTGATTGAGAAATGCAGACCAATTACAGGTAGCACTGTTACTATGATGTTTCTTTTTTTGGTTCGGTTCTGGGAGAGCAAGACAGTTCCCCGGAAGAGGACAGCACTGCACACTATGACGATCCACATCGACGCAATGCACTGGAAATACTCTGTTCATTCGTTAACTGTCCGGCCTTTATCTCAAAGAATGACTGGAGAGAGAGAGAGAAGTTATCTGCGTCCGTTCGTTGAGAGTAAGGCCAGAAATAGGCCGCTGGTTCAGCATTTTTTTAAAAATCACTTTCATGATAAACCGGTAGTGAGAACTGGTACTTCAGTGTCATGCAACCATGGAGGAAGAATGCCTTAGAAAAAGGTAAAAAAGAAGGAAAGAGGGTAGGGACTTATTACAAAAGCCCTGAATATCATCGTCATCACTGAAAGTAATACCCCAGTACAACGTACTGGTGCTTAACTGCCATACAACTACGAAGGAGAAAAGCCCTAGTAAAGAGTAGAAAGAAGAGGGAAAAGTAGGGCCTTGCTGCGAAGATGCTTTATGTCCTTGAGGAAGAAGATCAAGGATTGCGTGCATAGGAATTTGAACAGCACTGGAATAAACACATCTGAAAAAAATCGTTCAGCTGTAACGCCCTTCCGGTGCCTAGCTGCCATGCCACCAGAAGGAAGCACGAGGGCTGGGATACTACCAGGTTGTCCAAGCCTAGACAGGGGAAGTCGAGAGGTAAAGGTGGAGTTCGAACCACGGACCTTCCGGTCAGTAAATTCGCGCTCTAACCACTTGAGCCATTTCGCCTCAAAAAATACATCTGAGAATCATGTCAAAGTAATGCGCCATCAGCGGGAACCTCCGGCGAGATAAGTCCAGCGCACAACGACAGGCCAACTTCAGCTAGACAGTCCGGCCAGGAAATACAGCATGAGTGCCATATCCTATAGGGTTTCCAAACACGCATAAGGTGAATCGCGCGGACCCCAGGAAGGTGCGAAGTTCTTACGGCGCTCAACTTGACACTAGTCGTTGCCATTTTGTGTAAATTTAGGTTCGAGTTCGAACAATATAAAGCCTGGATTCATTCATAGGAGTAAAGGTTAACTGGTACAAACCAAACTCCACGAAGCGAAAATTCTTCGGTATTTTTCACTGAGTTGTAAAGAGGATCACTGGAACATTAAAACACTATATTTGTTTAAAGTTTCCCAAAGTAGACTGTAACATCAGTCCATTCTCAGCTAAACTAAACGAGTACTTTCCCAACCCACGCTCTCGAACGGCTTCCATCATAAGATTAGGAAAATGGGGTGTGGTATATGGGTGTCATCCACGATATGTAATTTTACGACCGAGTCAGTGTTATTGGTCGACTGGTCCGCTATCGCATGATTCGATTACCTTGATTGACAGCCTACCAAATAACATGGACACGGTTCGGAGAGACCGGTCCCATCAAACAAATGGTGCGCGTATGAAACAGACTCACTAGCGTGCTAGGATAAGTTCGCCGGCATAAACTAATTGATTGAGAGGTCTGGATCAATCTCCTACGGGTGGAAGATCGATCTTGTTCGTGGACATCGCAAACACGGAAGCGAAAACAACACGTCTTATCGTCTTCCTCTACGTTGAAAGTTCGTGAAGTTCCACAGGTCCTTCACGGTAGACGTTTCGTTCGTCTGTATTCATTTGGTCGAAGGCAAAGCATAAAAATGCCCTAACGAACGAAAAAGAGAGGTAATATACCACCCAAAAGTAATCTAAAATTGTCCGGAGGATGCTGGATGACTGGGACGTCTTAACAAACACAACCAGGACAGTTGATGATTCGCCGTTCAAGGGCTCAGGCTAGCCATGCGCATCACTAATGAGCTTAGGTCATCCGGTATACCTGCTAAGGCAAGTTAAGCGTACCATACAGCGAAATCCTCTACGTTTTTAAGTTACTTAGAGAAGTAAGTTCAACTCGTACTGGCGTCGATATTTCCATTCGCTTTCTCATTTTGTCAGCAAAGCTGTACTTTTGATTTGAAGCCTTCATTTCAAGCAATCCACACCGCAATCGATTTCAGCTCGCCGAGTAACAACACGGATATGTAGGAACCCTAGCTAATTCCATTGCCGAACTGAATCAATCTGTCTGGATCCATTCCAAGTGACCATACAGCGCAGACAACTGCCGAATCAATCGAAAGAACAACTTATGAAATCAACCAATTTAACAGCAATTAGTGAAAAACTGAACTGACCATCGACTTGCATGCGGTACGCATAGAAATCAATACACAAAGTCCCGTATACGTGAAAAAGATATCATCTGGATGGATGGCAGGGCATTAATTACACAGATCATCGTGCAACTGTAATAGACGTCAGCATAGTCTCGGATGGGCGCGGAGTGACTGTGTGGAATGAGAAGAAGCAGAAGTATGGTGCTGATGAACATTCCCTCGCCATAATCTCAACCCTGGGTGCCATCGGTTGAGATGTTGACTTTTTGGTCCACCAACCGATGATCATCTCTTATCGAGGGGTCTGCTTTCCTCAATCCGCTAAGGCTGTTATTGGACTGGGACTTCCTAAGGTCGCAGTCAGTGACTTGTGTTTGCTTGCCATTGTGGACTCTCTGCGTATTTACAACACATTTATGCGTGGTACATGGTGTTGAGTGTACTTATTTGCCATTTAATCTCACACCAGACCCAGTATGACGGAAACTTTGTGCCTGATGTGCAAGTCTTGACTGTGCTAGCGCCTACCGCGCCTTGAAGAGCATTCACCAATATTTGTCCTTTCTTCGGTTGTTGGTCTTTAGACGCGTGTTTCCATATCATAATCTTTACATACTTTGGGATTCATCTCATCTGACTGGAACTGTTCTTGGCATGATACGTTTCTCTCTTTTCCCCCATATTCTCCTGTTACTCTCGCATTCATCGCTTGCATTCGCTTTCTGTGTTTGTGACCATGCTCTTCAAAAATAAATGATAATAGTTGTGCAGATCAATCCGAAACTATAGCGAGTAGTTGCTAGATTCCGATGAATAGTCTGTACATTCAAACAGCCTGGGACTTTCAGCGAGAATGAAATACAAGATACAAGAACGTGTTAGACTAACACGAATACACAAACACCTACCTGAATGAACCCCGATCCTCAGTTCGAGTCGTTGATGAGGACGATGTGGGATTTGGAATTCGAAGATGGCTTTAAGGAACGCGATAGACATTCGGGCAATCTCTCGCGCATGTTCGTTCCCGATTCGCTTTGGCAGGCCAGAGGCAACCATGTACGCATCGCCGATGGTCTCCACCTTGTACACACGGAAGTTGTCAATGATTCCATCGAACAGAGTGTACAGTGCGTTGAGCAGATTCACAACCTGTTTCAAGGGTGATGGATAACACACAAAGCGTGGATGAGCGCTGGAGTAGGTTGGAGTAACTGGACCAAGGAAAACAATACGTTGTCTCTGTGCCTGAGAGGGGCTCCAACAACTGAAATGCTATTCAATCTCTTCTAGGAAGCCTGCTGTGTAAGGATGGGGGGTCACATGCTAAGTCTAAGCTGAAGAGAAACGATACCACTTCATCGCATCGTTCAGCTGTAGCACCCTTCCGGTGCCTAACTGCCATGCCACCATAAGGAAGCACTAAGGCTAGGATGTTACCAGGTTGTCTAAGCCCAGGCAGGGGAAGTCGAGATCGGGTTCGAACCAAGGACCTCACGGCCGGTAAATCCGTGCTCTAACCAGCGGGCCATCTCGCTCCCACAGAGAAGTACAACATGATTCAGTTTTACATTCTGTCACTGGATGAGAACCGTCTTGTTCCAATACCGTGTACATAAACAACAGTTGCAGGTACTTGGAGGTCACTTGGTGATGTGATGGTTCATACTGTCCTCAAGTACGAGGTACAAACGATGTTGAAGGTGTTATTCTGCTCGTTTAATTCTCGAATGTATCCTGTGTCATTAGGACTATCGGACCACGGTTCTACACGAGCGGAACGCCGGACTCATCGCCCAGGGGGCTTAGATTGACTGACAGACAGATGATAGCAAACTAATCGATTGGGCGGGACTATTCCAGCCACCGCCCGGATCGGTTCCACATGACTGCTTCACAAGTTCCCACGGCTGATTCGAAGCAATATGTGGAACATATTATCAACCGCCTCACGGAGCAGTTGACCAGAGCACGAGTCGGAGATTAGGTATAACACGTGGGTGTGTTTTCGTCGGAAAGAGGGGCCATAAACAGTGAACGAGTACAGTTGAAGTTTGTGTGTTCGGCAGCATACAAAGATGAGTTTTTACCAACTGGCGGTGTCATTACGGCCTAATCATTTGGCTGATGATGGATACTCATTCGCATGAAGCAATGTTTGACCGAATTCCGTTGTACAACAGCCGATTTTGCTGACCTTGCATTTAGTTTTAGACCATCTGAACTAATAACATTTACATCAAGGAAACTACTCACAAGGTTGATAAAACCAACATCATCATCATTGTCAGCTGTGATAACCGCGTACTTGTCGTTCAGTGGTTGTAGCTGCCGCAGTTTCGTGCACTGATGATTCAAGGAGGTGGAGACGGGAGCTGATAAATTCGTGCGTAAATACAGCACTGTAGGTGGACTGTAAAGTGGGGGCATTGGGAAGGGAGCTATGCATTGAAGGCAATAGCTTGGATACATGAGCGCCATTGAGGGTGCGACTGAGTCATGTCTGACAATGTCTCCAACCATTGATGTGGCCCGTCTCGGGGTCCCCATCCAGGAAGACGGCAATGACCAGCGCAGCTGAGTTTGCTGGTAATGCCTTTCATATTTCGCTGTCAAGTCATTGTTTGACCGCCTCTGGCTCTCTTCCACCCTCCACGTGGTTGTGCGAAAAGAGCCCTTCGAGGAAGTCGGTCGACTGGCATACGCAGCACGTGGCCAAGCCAGCGCAACCTTTGCAGTGTAACAGTTCATCTATCGAGAGTGAGTTATTTCTGCCGACTACCATTCGACGAACTTCAGCATTGCTAATCCGGTGTTCCCACCAGTTCTGAGTTGCTGAAAACTCTTCGACAGCCCATGAGCTGTTTCGTCCTTTCATTTCGAGCTCATCAGATGGGAGCAGTCCCTGAGTTTCAGTCAACCTCAGGCTCTACGAACCCAAATTGGACTGATTTCGGTAAATAAATTTGATTCTCAAAGGAGTAGTTTCCTTTATGAAAATATACTGCGATATCTTTAGATATTATAAACGAGAGATTTAGTTGAGTCTCTTGTGAAAACTTAATTGATTTGCCGGTTAAACTAAGCTCCAGGACATCCGTTGGGCTCATTACTAGTTTGTGGTGGCCAATATTTCGAATATGCGTGGACGCCACTGCTTTCATCCTTCTGAGACAAACAACTGAGTGCGATCATCATGTAAAATGCCATGCAACACGTCACTGCCCGAATGGTCGCTTGATCCGTGGCTGTCACTCGGATCCGTTCACGTTTAGCGGATGTGCTACGCTCTTGTGCCATCACGACCTACATGATAAATTACGTGACATGCGGGCACGTGAGCTGCCGCAATGAACACTGCAGTGTGGATAAACAAGATACACCTGATCATGCGTGGGAGGAATAAAATTTTCACAACATCCTTGTTTGAACACCCTTACTCTTATCCTGGCGCAGTCCAAACCAAACAGGGGAAGCAATGAACTCGGGCTTTGCTCTTATTAGAGCTCACCAGGAGTAAACACACCTGGCCGGTGTTTGAACTCCAAATCTGTGGCATGTGAGTTAAACATGTCAACGGTACTCCTGTAGGACACGCCTGACACACTTGAATTATCGTGGAAGCCCAACTTCTCGAGCGGCGACCCAGTAACTGTTTGTGGCGACCGGTCGGCCCATTTGGTAGGTAACGCCACGGACGCTTGAAACCTGTCGGACAGTTTTCGGTTGGTTACTTGCACGGTTTGCGGAAGTGCAAATGTGCACTCACACAGTTCTGGTTTGAACTGTGCTCATTTTGTCCCGGCACAGCTATTCTGCCGAGTCCACCTCAAAGCTGAGGAGCATTGGACTCGGATTTCGTCACTATTAGAGCTCGCATCTGTGGTTGTGCGAAACTAACGAACACCAGAAGTGCCTATTCGAACGAGAGCGATGCGGATTTTACAAACTCGCCAAATCAGAACCCCCTAGAACGCGATTTCACTTGCTTCCACCGTCACTCAAAGCGACACAACGAGTAACCAGTACACGAAAAAATCATCCAATGAGTATTCGACTTGAGGCGATTTTTCAAAGAAGACATTAGGAGAATGTTTGACGGTTAGAACGCTTTGCCGTCGGTCTCTCACGAAGCATGGTGAGTCGTGACGACTGAAAAACCAAATAGACTGTTGAAGATTACTGTGGATTACTGATTCAGTTATACCTATTGGTGACGCGTCTGCGCGGAACATAGGACAGGTCGTGAATACCTCCAACATTCGATGGACAAACTGTGATTCCTACTGGCTCACTTGTACACAGGAAATTTTGTTGAGCTTTTCAGGTGGGGGCAGATACGGGATCTTTTAAAACTTGACACGGAAGCTGCCGTGGGCTTCGCCTCTACTGCCGACTCTCATGGACATCCACTGACGAATGTATACAGTTGAGCTTCATGAGCAGGCAGATGATTTCGTTTTAAAGTGTTCGATGAATTGCCATGAGGATGGTGCTTCCATTGTTCTTGGAAAAACCCCCCCCCCCCTGGCTGCTCATTTCACGCAAGAAATGTCAATTTCAGTGATGCCACTAAGTTCGAACCACACTCTCCCCTTAATTTTATAAAACACATCCGTCGTTTATAATTCATTTTCGGAGATTTCTTGTGCCCTTCATTAATCTCATCAGGGGCCGGGAGTTGCTCATCAAAGTGTTACTGTGTGGCGTTGATTGGACACGGTTTCTCCACCTTACTAGTGTTGAAAAAGAGAAAACGGACCAGCTTCAACCCGGAGTGCGCGGCTCAACAGGGAGTACTCACATAAATTCTTCCAAAAGGATATTGACAACGAACAGAGTCGGTAGGTAGAAGAACGCGCTTTCCTAGCTTGTCGAGTACCCGAGTCGAAGTAATTCTCACAAAAGATTAACGCAAACCCTAGTCAGTCTAATGGTGCAGGCTGTTGACGTGATAAAGTATCTGGGTTTAGCCACCTTCGTTGAGAAATGAACCGAGCACACACACACATACTGAGTAAAGTACTTCAATTATTACACAAACTGGTCCGCTCGCTACTCTCTAAGTGGCTGATGCAAAATTCATCATTCGACGGTGTTCGTTGGAACATACGGCCTGATCTCAGCTAGTCCGCACTCGTGAGGAACGTTGGAGGAGGTAACATTTCAGCGTCACAATTAACAGGGAGTTTGGATTCGTGTATACCTATTGGTGTTTTAATCAGTCGATAAAATAGGCCAACTCAGCACGGTTCGTAGGTCAGATTGGCGAAAAAGGCTTCCAAATAGTCTGTCTTTCGTTCAGAAACACGATGGACTCTCTCTGGACACAACACACTACTCAAATGGTTGCTGAAAACTCTTTGACTCAGTAACTTAGTGAGTAGTGTGGTACTGGCGTATCGTACCCACTGACACGTGAGACGACCTGAAGAACATAAAAAAGAGATCCAGCTGAATCTCCTGTAAAAATCGAATTGGACAATGTACACTCGCTGTACCGTTACTTGTTACAGCGGTATCTCCGCATTTCGTCACGCTGAGAGTATGCAAACGGTTTTGCTATTCCATCGATTATCACACCGTCATCTGTCAACAGAGTTTATTTGTTTGTTTTCTAACGTCACCCAGATAACAAGATTCAGTGCAACGCTAGATTTCCTCACACCTATCATGAATTCGATGATCGTGATTTCACCTCGGTACGAATGGATGAGGGCAGATTCCGGACTGATCAGCTGATAACATAGAGCGAGAATGCGCGTACGCACAAACCCAAGTTGTGATTGCGGGCTTTTGGAAGTCTAGAAGAACCGAATGCTCTAGATTGGGCCAATAGGAAACGGGCCAATAGGAAAAACGTGTATCATTGCACGTCGATCGCGAACATCGGTCAGTTGCAAGATGTGTGGAACAAGTGTAGAAAGATGGAATGTCCTGTAAGTGAAACCAATCTATGCCGAGAAGCACTGTACAGCTGTTTCGTCAGCAGTGCGCATCTCACGAAACTTCGGAGAGTCTCGAACCCGCGACCTCTTGGCCACGGCTGGCTGATCAGCAGTGTGAATCACACTGCTGAGGACATCAGTCTAACAACAAACCTGCTGGATAAACAAAAACAACTTTAAAACGTTACAATCCATGAACTACATGTCAAGAATGTTCAACAATGCTAAAGGCGAGGTCTGTTTACGACGTCATTCTGCTTTACTGTCACTTTTTTTTAGAAGAACCAAACGACGTGGGGTCATGAGGTTCTTGCATGCCTAGGAACTTGACAAAAGGTGTCCACAACATTACCTTTTCGCGTATGCTATATTTCTCCAAGTAATGTGTGGATATCTCTTACACGGCTATGTACCCATCTTAGTTCAGCGATGCGTATGCAGAGTGAACTGACCGTTCACGTCAGCCTTCGGTTGTCATATCTCCCCTTGGCAGAGAAGACCGAACACGGAGTGGCTGACACCAACTGGAGGGTGTTTCGAAGCGATTGGATAGTCATCGCTTCGGAAACGTTGATTTGAAATAAATCTACCGATTGCTCACCAAAAGTCCCTGAAACGGTGGACACAAACTTTAGGGAATACACTCTGATTTCAGTTAATCACACGACTTTTAACAGGGTTTCACTGTTCATCAAGTACCACGGAACCACCAGTTGCATAGGAATGTCTAGTCATCAAACCGCTGGATTACTTACCTCCATCGGCGTTGAACCTGCAGAAAGCGCAGTGAAGCCAACGATATCACTGAAATAGATCGTCACCATTTCGAAACTCTCTGCTTCCACCGTGTGTTTCTTAATCAGCTGACTAGCGACGGCCCTGAAACAGTACCAAAGAGGGAATATGCATAACGATCGAGAGAAAGGTTATAGACTCAAAACAACACCAGAAGATAATAAAGAGCGACGACGAGAGTTCTAAAAAACATTGCGCCATCGAATCTCTAGAATTGGAAAACATGCATCCCAGTTTCCCAAGCTTCACACCTAAACTCGCCGTCGAAACCGATTAGCCTCATTATGTATGACAGAATTGGCAATAGACTCGGAGAAAGTGAGGTCCGGTGGCTGTGTTGTCTAGTTTCCTGTTGTCGTCCACGAGGTGAACCAGTGGGTGCTGCGTCGCGCGGAGCAGCTGGTACCCCAGCGACCCAAGTAACCAGTTCCGTGCGGTTCGCGGATTGGCGAGTTGACTTGTTTGCTCACCTCAGAGATGAGTGAGTGCATTTCAGGTCACACTGTCTCCTTCAGCGAACCAATCAGAATCCGATAATCGGTGTTCAAACTGGGTTAACAGCGAGGAGGCAGAATACAAAACTAGAATGCACCTATCAGGTCCATCGTAGTCGCTTTTTCGTCCTGTGGAAACTATTTCAACCTGGGAATCATTTCTATGGGGCCCGGGACGGATGTTTTGCTCTTTCTGATACGTTCGAACATTCAGTCTTGACCTTGTAAATCCGAACGCCCAACTGCTTCGATTACCATGAGGCCGTAGTAAAAATATTCAATTTTATGAGTGTCATGGGCGTCCCTTTGCGGTTGCGCCGAGTGAGTGAGGGAGAGAGAGAAAGGAACGAAAGTCATGTTGCAGAACTGGGCGTGTACACATGCTGAAGCGGGATCTTGTGAACTCCAAGCTATTCCGCTTATTATTCTATCATAACACTGTCCAGGATTTGCTACTACCCACCGTATCGATCGCCTCTGCGTATGGAAACGTGTAAATATGGGGAAAATCAGACGGGCCAAACAGGGTTGGAATGGCTGGGCTGAGAAACCTGCCCACAACAGTGTCTGTCCGTGAGCGGGGACATGTTGTGGGTGTACGAACAGACGTGAAAACCAATAGCGGAGTTTTCGGGCACAGGACAAACAATGTTCTGCAGGTGTAAATACCTAATTCGAAACAAAGTTCCATAGATTTCGCGTTTAACTGGTCTTTATGGAGGATCTCGAAAGGTTAGGAATGATGCTATCGGGTATGAGAATATCATCACTTCAAAGCAAATCAGACGTGTGTAGATGAAAATTTCAAGTGAACAACTCAACATGGGGAAATTATGTTACGACAATGAAAACAGTATGTAAAAACGGACCATCATGGGCTGTTTGTCGTCTGTACAACTCAAGGTCACGCATATGACTGTGCAAGGACCTCCTAAAATCACTGCAAGCTCATACGAACAGCGTTCAGAATCAGTCAAGACAGGCAATAAATCATTATCGTTCAGCGATTATGTACTTTCGGTAGCATGCCACCCAAGGCCAAGTTACCCAAATCTGACAGAAAGAGTCGAGATGCCAGGGCTGGGTTTCTAAGCACGGACCATCTGGCCAGCAAGTCCGCGCTACTGAGCTACCTCGGGCCGAGTACTCTAATCTGGCCTAGACTAGGTCGGGTACCCAAACAGATCACCGATGGGGCGAAAAAGAGGCGTTTAAATTCAGAAATGTCACTCATCGGTGAACACGTTCTTCCAGATCACGCTCGCGGGCAGTCCCCAAGCCAGGCAACAGGGAAATGCAATAGAAGTCTCATGGGGATGGCATAGCTTAGGCCATTTCAGCATAACCAAAGGGAAAATGTTACTAATTTTGTCGAAAATCAATGAGCAACACTAGAAACAAAATCTGAAAATATCACTGAACTCCCGGTGGGTGAATGAGAGGTCCCGGGAGGGGGGTCGGCAGTTGTCAACCCGACTAAGTTTACCGGTTATCATATTTCGTTGCCAAATCATGAATCGCCCACCCTTACGTCACTTCCACTCAGCGCAGGGCTGAGCGAAAGAGCTCTGCCAAGCAGAGGGTCCTCTTGTATTCAAAGTATTTGTCCAAGTCAGCGGGAGTAGCTCACTTATCACGGGAAAGTTCCACACAACTCACCAACTACCCGACTAATCGATAAGGCATCGAAAACCCCGACACCACAACATCCGAGTTAAAGTTCCAACCCATCAAAAACGACTTTTGTTCGTTCTTCTGATGAAACCTGCGTAGAGAATAGACAAATGCGCTCGCTGATCGCGTTAAAAGCTGGCAGAAACGAGGACCGAGTAGGTTCGGGCATCGGATAAACTATCCTGTCATGTACTGCTTCGTTTTGCTGTTCCCAGTCGAATATATCGGTCCAAAGTGCTTTCATTTTAGTTCAGTAGTTTGAATAGCAGCTACGGCGCCTAAATCCAAATGGCCTCGTAGATGACCTCTGTCCAGTTTGGATACTGACGAAAAGATGACTACTGCTCAAATTCATAAAAACGTTTAAAATGTGTCCCGTTCACGTACTTGGGCAACATCGAATAGAGCAAATCCTCGGCCCTCTTCTTCTCGTCCATATATTGTTCTGTACGTTTATCGACCATTTGTTCCAAGTTGGTCGTGATATTCTGCATGCGTTCGACCAAATTATCAATCAGGTTCTCCGAGGAATCAGAGCTGAGGAACAAATCGATTGAGAGCGTGAGTAACTAAGGGAATGAGTGTGGTTAAAAGAGAGGAGACGTCAGGGTGGATGTAGGAGATCAAGGCCACAGAAATAGGTTCTGTGCCAGCTGTTATAGACAAGTCCCCAACAGAGCGGAATTCTACCATAACGCTGAGGCGATTCGGTCTTACAGAGGACGAGCTAAAGGAGTGGAGCATAAAGTCAGCCCTCACCGACTCCACAATGGCGTCTGTCTGAGTGTGTGGAACCCGAGTACCGTTCTCCAACTGTTTCCACTTGTATTCGTTAGGCAACAGTCTCCCCCCCCCCCCAGTGTTTCCACCGATGATTCTGATGGCTTAGAATAACCGATATCATCACCATCAGCCGTAGGGATCGCGTACTTGTCTTATAGTAGTTGTTGCTGCCACAGTTTCGTTCACCGATGATTCGGGAGAGTGGGGTAGGCAGCTATGCATTAAAGGCAATAGCTTGGATACATGAGCGCCATTGAGGGCGCGACTGGGCCATGTCTGACAATGTCTCTAACCATTAATGTGGACCATCTCGGGGTCCCCATCCAGGAAGACGGCAATGACCAGCACAGGTGAGTTCGCTGGTAATGGTTGCCAAGCCTCTGGCTCGTTTCCACCCTGGACAACTCGAGGATGGAGAATATCGCGAGTAAACCGGATGTCGAGTGACACTAAATGGGGGCATAACGGTTAGACTGCTGCGTGGTCTATTCTATCATAGCCCAGCCAAGAAAGTTGAGTTTCGTTCTAACGTGCGACTGTACGTGATTCGACAAGCCAAGTGGTCGTTTGGCAAGGACGTTTCGAACTTGCCAGTCCCTTGTCACCACGAGTCTTCTGTAGTAAGAGGAGCACTTCAAGTAGAACATAAGGTTGACGGAAACCCGGGGACTGCACCTACCTGATGAGCCCGAAGTGGAAGGGTGAAACCGATCGTGAGATGTCCAAGATTTTTCAGCAACCTTGTGAGTAGTTTCCTTTATGAAAAAGGAGCATTCCTGTTTTTTTTCCCTGGAAAAATAGGGTAGCAAACTGCATGCCATCGACCAGTTACGGTGATATTTTGACTTTCTGACGAAAATAATGGGCAAAGCTGAGTTTAGTGCCTATTGCATTCCTCAAGATAAAATTAAAATAGTCAGCTTATTTGGTAGAGATTATGATGAATTGCCAGTAGAGTATGGTTCATCTACCCACAAGGTTGCTGAAAACTCTTCTACAGTGCACGATCGGTTTCGCCCGTCAGGTACGCACAGTCCCCGAGTTTCCGTCAACCTCATGTTCTACTTGAACCCAAATTGGACTTTTTTCGTCTTGTTTAATGTAGCCAATCTCATGATCTGTGTAAATCCAAGGGTGTCAGTGGATTTTTCACTCTGTCGACCGGGGGCCGAAGCTATGTACTGAAAGGACTGAGAGAATATTGGCTTGCGAAAAAACTCGGCTTTATGTAAGCGTTTCAAATGAGAACAGACCAAACGATTCTTTTTCTTCGGTCTATGACGTAGAACGAGGCTTTTTTTGCAGGTGCAGAGTACTGCATCGGTTTTAGGCGGTATACATATCTGTACCGTATTCACTCGCACGAACTTCATAAAAAATGAATTTTCTGGAGTCAAAACCCAACGTAGTAGAATAGACCGACATTTTGATTGCAACCTTTTCCAACGATTTCCGCAATTTTCACAACTGAATTTTCGTTTAACGAGCGCAGAAGGAATCAACTATATATCACACTACCTGTCCCTCCCAGCAGGGGGCAATCGCAGTGGGGGGAGGGGAAGAAATTTGGACAACCCATGAATGTGTTCCAAGTGTGAAAGGACGACATAAGATATCACTGAGTAATTTGCATCTTTGCCTGCATATGGTTTTCTCATGCGCAGCTCCCAGGCTGTGTGCGACCGTACCCCAAATTGCGTCGGAATGGATGAACTCCACAGTCAAATAGACAGAGGTGTGGATGGCCAAATTAGAAAATTAGGCCACACCACACTTCCCGCATCCTTGCAGTTTCAACTAATCGGTTTCCAAGCATCCGGAGGTGAAAAAAATCGGGACATCTTGTAAATCCATTCGTGAGTTTTTAAGCAGAGATGAGAAACACGAACTGTATGCAACAAAGCTTTCGCAACAGTGTATATTAAACAAACGATTACTTGATACAAACCACAGAGGGTCATGAGTTTAGCTTAAGGAAGTTTTAGTTGGCGAAAAATGATGTGTAGGACCCACGGATTTACTGGTTCCAGGTCGACGTAGGACCACATGAATGCCTGATCTGTTCAGCGACAGTATGCTGTTTGGGTCGGACGATTACGGATGCAGAGTCACCATCTGACTTCGCACCTTCTGGAACCTACCGCGCTGCTGCCAAAAGATGAAAGGTAGTTTGTTCAGCGGGGCTCACTGGAAGATGTTGGTTTGTTCCGCAGCTCAAGAGAACTATGAGATTCGGTGGGCAACGAACGGGTCGGACAAACAAATCTTGCGTTGCCGTAAAAACCGAGTACTCTTGTCGTACTGTACGACAAGTATGTGGTTCTTAAAGCTGATGAGGCTCGTTGTACAGTGGTCATAACTACCCCAGTTTCAATTTTGGGGTTTTGCGGGATAGGTATTTTGTTCATAGCCACACCACTCTCGTTTGAACGGCCGTGTTCCTGTTCTGGTGTAATTATTCCGCTGAGTCCACACCAAAGGGAAGCACTGGAATCGAGTTTCGCTCTTATAAGAGCTCAATCGATCGTCACAAACAGGACAGTTACTGGGTCGTCGTTCGATGAATCGGGCACACCAATCACATCGCTCAAGTGTGAACATATTCGCCTGTTCAGACGTGAAAGTTCAGATACGTCCAACGTGCGTTGGTGGAGTAGTGGTTACACGCTCGCCTCGCAAGTCAGATGCCCGGGGTTCAAATCCCGGCACGGCCATTGTATATGCATTGCTGATGAGCTATAATAAGAGCGAAACTCGAGTCCACTGCCTTCCCTTTGGTGTGGACTCACCGGAATAATTACCCTAGTTTCGTTCGCCGATGATTTGGGGAGGTGGGGTAGACAGCTACGTATTGGAAACATTAGCTGATATATAACTGATGCGTATATACAGGGTTATCTCAGTGGAGACTTGGTACATAAATCCAGTACTGTCAGTGGGCTGTTAGTGGGGGGTTGGGAATGGAAATATGCATTGAAGGCAATAACTTGGATGCAGGAACGCCGCTAAGGAGGGCGACTGGGCAGGGCCTGACACTGTCTCTAACCATTGATGTGGCCCACCTCGGGGTCTCCATCCAGGAAGACGGCAATGACCAGCGCTGCTGAGTTTGCTTCTAATGTTTCTAATACTTCGCTGCCAGGTTATTTTCTGACCTCCCCTGGCTCATTTCTACCCTTCGAGTGGCCTACCCTTCAATGAAGTCAGTCAACTTAGCCTAACCTATGGAGTGCGATCAATTCAACTATCGTGGGCAAGGGTTTCTTCCGAAAACCATCCAGTCTACCCCCAGCATTATCAATCACGTGTTCCCACTAGACTCGGGCAAACACTGAAACGGCCAGCCTTCCAGCCGTGCACGACACGGACCAAACGAAGGCATGCCCTGATTGGTCAGAATGCCAGCCAATCCGAGTCGAGCATCTTTGACGCGACGCTTTTCGCCCCTGTCACGGAGATTCTGGCACGACCTTGTGGAACACTCTGTGACTACCCTATAAATACAGTTGTAATAATTTTCCTTTGTCTCCATAAAGGGCTGTGTAGAGCTACCGTGCCTTTTGATATACCATAGTGGGCGGAGCAGGAAACCAAGGGACCGATACAGAGTTGCACGACCATTCAGCAAGTCACAACATTATTCCATTGGTAATCATCGCAACCATCAGGTGTTCAAATGGGACCGTCTAAAATATTGCTGCAACTGAGTTCGGGTGACTGAATTATCGTTTTCCTTCAGGATTTAGTGACTGTGGTTTTTATACTCGTATTTGTGGCACACATTTTGGAGGAATAATGACCGTTTTTTCGCCTGGCCTTGGAATATCAAATTCCGAGCGACATAGCATTGGGCTGTTTAGAAAAACAAACACCAAGAACACCGCCCCTCCCCCCTTCCCGAAAAAAACCCACCCAACAATCTTCCCGATCGCTCGAAAATCCGGGCGCTTATTCGGATCATCGTCCCAAGCACGCCGAATCATTTGGATCACTGCCTCGGAGCCTTCTTCTTGAACCTGTAAAACGGGTCGATAGCTGGGGATCTGACGTTCTTCCACAGCGGCGATGATGGTCTAAAATGAATAGAAAGGATGATATTCATCAGGAAAATGCATGTGGTTGGCTGAAACTATTGGACCCGCCTTGTAAAACATCACTGAAGACAGAATTGACGAGAACTCTTGGGGGGATATAAGTCATTGAGATTTCGACGCCTTCCCCCAGAAATCGAGCAGAAACTACTTTTGTGCTCCATAAATGTCCCGATTTCCTCTTTCATGAAAATGCCCCGCACGATGTCCTATGGCACGCTGATCAGGAAAATGAGTAAGTAATGAAGCCAAGGCAATGAATCGACCGGGACTTGATAAACCGTGTACTGATAGACCTCCAACGATTACCGCTGGGGCTTCTCTCCACTAGAAATCAGCTACGTGATAAATTATCCAGTTTCGTCGTTTCAAAGGTCGAACTCTCTCGATCGCTAGATTTCAGCTAGAAAACCGACACCCCGTCAGCACTAGTTTGGGGGATACCCCAATGGTGAGACCCTCTGGTGTCTACCAGAGGTGTCTATCCGATCGCCTCGAATACCCTGCCGAAATTGTTTAGAACATCGTTTCTGGACATTGAGCTGTGGAAACTTCTTAGTAAGTGGGTGGGGGTTGATCTGTTGGTAATTTGTCAAAGATGCCAGTTCGAGCCTTCATGCACACCCTACTCAGAGCCAGCATCCATACTCCTGTCTCCTTACAGCAGTGAATATATGCAAACAAACTGGTATGTTCCACTTCCGCGCAATGTGCCGTTAGAAAAGGCGTCAATTCAACCAAAGGTGTCCAAAGTCAGTTCAGCTATTTTTAGTGGACTTAATAGGTCGGGGTTGGTGAGACCCAGGTACATAGATATCAGACAAAAAAGCCGTCGGAGCGTTACTTTTTGAAAATATACTGCGATATGTCGCGTATCGCACGAACTGAAACACAGGGCAGTCATTGTACACTACACTCAGTTGGAGTAAATCAAATAAGATTCAGTTGAGTCTCCGGTTAAGGACAAACTAATATGCAAATAAGTGTAGCGCGCGAATTTCGCACAATTTGGGTTCATAAGGACTGCACCTACTTGACGAGGCCCAAGAAGGGTGAAACTGGTGGGGAGCTGTCGAACAGTTTCCAACAGCCTTAATGTTCTTTCAGGACTATATTGATGGTGGACTGACGACTCTGAACTGAACTAAAACTCGTGTTCGAAAAATTGTATTGAACAAAAAGACACATGTTAATGCCGTCCGGAAACGCTTGTCTGTCACTCTTCCGCAATTTTAGCTCTTGAAAAGAGCTCTCACTTCACTCGAATGCGTCTCCCAAATGTTAAACCAGACTTAAAGATCTCGTAACTTTCCAAGTAACTCCTAGCATCGTACTTATGACGCCAATACAAACCATTCAAAGTCTGAGTTATTAGCTTTGTGAACACAGTTAATCCCCGACGGCAAGCCGCCACTACTCCTTTCCAGGAGTAGTTCTTCCTCAGTTTTTGAGTACTCTCAGAAACTGGAGAGCGATGGCATGCAAAGTCTGATAAATACAACCTCAGAACAAGATTATTCCCAGAGTATTCATTTCAGACAAGCGATTAGTTAGGAATAACGCGAAGGGGTACTCACCGCCGCAGGAGGTTGGTTTTCTTCCTCGATGTAGAATGGTCCTTTCCGGTAGATGAGTTCTTGACAAATGATCGCGTACGCGTAGACATCACCCTTGAAAGTGGCCTTGGGAACTTCTCCATCTTTGGTCGGCAGTAACTCGGGTGCGGTCCACAACAGATCTGAATAAAAAAAAGTCGAAATGTGGGGAACATAGAGAGGAAGACACAGTAATCTCACAGGTGACCAAAAAATCCCTTTCTTCATGGCGTTCGCTCCTGCAGTGTACGTGGTTGTTGCAGCGAACAGTTAGGTTCAAACCGATTGGAAGTAAAACAAACAGACAGATAGGAAGACAAACAGACAGTAACTCACAAACCTAGGGTGTTTTGTCCGTGAACAGTGGCTAAGCGATTAATCGGAAGCGAACTGGATAAAATGCTGAGTATTACCTACATTGTCTGTGAGAAAAACGGTCAGAAGCAACTGGGGATCAGCGCTACCGTTTTATATACACGGAGAATGTGATGAACAAGCGAACGGTATTTTGAAGGCACACACCATACTTATTTGAATTCTACACGATAATGGTTTTGGGTACTTTGAAAGTTAACCAGTACGGCATGACAGTTGTGCGCGGTACCTAGACCAATGCAGCTGTTGTGTAGACAACACTGTCTATGCATTCCCGTTGGTCGTTCAGTCAACATGAATCAATCGATGGCAGTCACGTGACCCATCGTCTGCTGCCTGTGCAGTGACTACCTCATCGACGTGTCGGTCCTACAGCTGCATTATCATGACCACCGTGGTCAAACATGACCGCGTACATGGGCAGCAGGCTTACGCGGTGATCGTTCAGTTCATTCCCGGTCGGCAAGGTTTTCATCTTCACCTATTTGACAATCGGGATTTTGAAGACCTTCCAGTGTTCGTCCCATCATCTCATCGATCTCGAAGTTGAATAGAAATGCAGAGAGTGGATACAGCTTTGTGCACGAAAGCTTTTGGAGATCTTCCCATATATTCTTACACGCCAGGAAGTATGAGAATACAAAGAACTTATGTTCACAAACTTCCGAGGCATTCCTTGCTGGAAAGAGCTATGGATCATTCAATAAGATTGCCTATAGCTCCTGAAAGCAACAAGATGTCCAGACAAAGTAAGCGACTTCTGAAGGCGCGTGATGAGCTCAAGTGGACCGTGTGTACCTGTCAAATCCCTGAAACTAGTGAATAAAATTCGGGCTCAAAGTAAGCCACCTAAACCAAATGTAGTTTTCTGAGCATGCCATCCAAACTGTTGAGGAGATAAACATGATGAGCATATCGTATGGTGGTGCTGTAATCTCCACGCCTACTCTATCAAAACTAATCACTCGGCTTCTGATAAAAGGAAGTGTGGGGTATGAGACCAATCCGAAATTCGATCATGTTCCAAGAGGACATTCTGAGTTGATCAAGCTTATCCCAGGATAATAGCGGGATATTTGGAGAGAAATCAAGTAGTTCTAAATACTCCTCGTCTCTGTCCAGCGTAAAGTGTCGAAATTGCTTTGAAGTACGGAAGCCAAACATGATCATACAGGCACGGACGAGGCACTGAACTATATGGCGGATCCTGGGGACAACTCAGGTGATAGTCTGATAAAATTCGTCTGTTAGCGAAGTCAGGTTAATAAACAGCTGTAAAAAAACAAACACCACACAGATGGGGGCAGATAGATTGACTGATTTACTAACTAAAAGTGTCAGCAAGGCGGAGATGTTGCTTGATCAGGAAAAGTTGGTTTCTCGGCATCGTTGTGCGGAATACGAGTGCACCAAAATCGCCAACCCATAAAAGACAAACAGAGTGGCGCTTTTTGTATGACCCATGTACATATCGTAGCCCAGTGAAGATCAATAATTCATATACTAACAGTTGTAAAGCATCATTAGTACTATGTTGAAAAGTAATGGTGCGTAAAGGATCATGATCCATGAGCAGTCTGAATGTGTCCAACAAAGCGTGCGTTCCAGTGGCACGTTCTTTTACCTCAGGACGAAATCGAAATTGTTCTGCAAGTGTATTCAACTAATCGTTTGCTTTGGATTTCCGTGAACCAAGAGCACTTGCCAAGACATCGATGCTGTACTATAGAGATGCTCACTTTGTTATAATAAGTGAGCACATACGCCGATTTACAGATGCCAGTTGGGATTTTGAAGTTGTCCGATTGTTGATCAGGTGACTGTTGATCTGTTCGCCGAGCACGACACCATACGAAGAGTCATCATCAGTGTGCAGTTGGATGGGCACCTCTTGTTGGCCTGAGTGCGTTTATGTAGCATCTGAAGGCTATCTGTCATTTCCTAACGTGATTGGCCAGTTGGGCAACAGCCTTTTTGGTGAATTTATTGGTCGGTTCGTGGTCCTTGTTGCGTTGTGGTTTCTGTTCCTTCGAGTAGATTGGTCATCCCGATGCCCTCTATTTTTATTAGTTCCCTCCCCATTTTGATTGGCTCACTTCTTTTGGAATGACTGGCTTGCTGCACCGCCCTCTTTCCTCCATTGTATTGACTGGTGTCCTTGCTTCCACCGGTTAATTTAGTACTTGCCTGGCCGGACACCAGGCTTGGTTGTATGTCCCACTTTCCCGTTTTCCGGTGATCGAAACTGTAGCAGCTGGAACCAATGTGCCTATGGCACACGGTTTATAGCCGATAAATTGATTGATTGATTGGTTGATTGATTGAGACAACAGGCATACTGCGACAGGCTTTCACAAGCCCATTATCAAATATTGGCCAAGCTCGTAGGTAGGTAGACCGCCGTATAAGCAATTCGACAAGTTAATCTCTGCAACGTAAACGTAAGACCAGACTGCAGTCGGGCTTTGGCAAGTTAGCTAATCATGCTCAGACTGGTTTGGTGGCTTTCGTATCCTTTCCCGTACGACCCACCCAGAAATTCCATGGTATAATGATCAACCTGCCTCAAGCAACACGCAACTCGTTCAACCGATTCAGATGGAATTTACAATGCACGTGTCCAACTGGATTTTGTACAAATTTATGAGATCAAAAGCAACCAAACTTCAGACAGAAAAAGTTATAAACGGTTGTCCGAAGCACAATGTTCCCAAAAACAATTTAGGAGTTCCCATTCCTATGAAACGTGTAGCATAAGTTTCCGGCCTGATGTACCATGCCATGATTTCCAGCATTCCACATCTGCTCCCTGTCTCCTTTTTCGGTATAGTCCACCTGTGCTTTGAAAAACCGAACTATATGAGATGGACTACAACAAACGAACCAGAAACTACACCTTCCGACCAGTCAACGCTTGGTTATTTATTGATTGGCAAGCAGTGGCCGGAAGGTGACAAACACAGTGCAGTTCAGTGTGCGTCGGTGTACCCAGTCAATTCACCCGTCTTCAAGAAGGAATGTGGGCCGATGAGGTCGAAAAATCTGAGACCTAGCCGTTCGATCATCGCTCGAAACCTCAACGACAGTTCCGGTATGGAGGATACATTTGAAGCCCAGGTAAGTTGCACATAAACGAGTATCGACCCAAACTAGTCACCCGTTGGAAGTGACTGTAGGGTGTGATGAAAGTGGTATCTTGCATCGCTTGTTGGTCTGTTCGCCAAGCTTGACAGTTGGATTGCAAACGCTTCATCATCACCCGAGGTGACATCGTCCGTGCGGGGTTGAGTCGATGAATTCCTCCTCTTCTGCTTGTGCTTATATAGCTCCTGAACAGCATCTGGTAGCTCTGAAGACGGTCTTCGCGTAGTTGGATTGGTTCCCCATGAAGCTTAGTTGGTCTCAATCTCTCGTATCTGGTTGGTTCGTTGGGCGCATTCAATTCTCTATGTGATTCGATCGTTTTCTTCGTGCTTTGTGGTCTGGATGAATTTGTTTCCTTGACTGGTTGATTCAGTGGTCTTCTACGTTTGATCCAATTGGTCCGTTGATTGTCACTGTATTCCCAAACAGAACGGGAAAACACTAGCGAAAACGTATTGTTCATGAAGGCGACCGAATCTTAGCAAAGTGTGACGATGTGTGTGTGTGCCTATTCGATCTATTGAGCTCTACTCCGGGGTATTCGTACGCCACTCGCAGGGTCTATCATACCAAGTTGATTAATGGTTACAGGCCGGATCAATACAGCCCCCTGGACGTTCAGGTTGGGCATTGAAACCATTGGGGCGACTCATTCTATAAAAACTGCCAATCACTACTGCCTGCCGGTCAGGCTTTTGAGTTAAGGCCTTAGTTAAGGAACCTAATTGTCCTCTTGTCTGGGTATGAGCGTTCTCGCAGTATTCCAGCCCACGTACACCCAGGATCTCCATATATACAAGCAAACTCATGCCACATAGGTCGTCGGGCGAGGAACCTAAACATTTTTTAGAAAAGACAGTTTGGAATGCGAATCCAATACATTACAGCACCACCCAATCATTCAAATGACTTGGAGGCAAATATATGAACGCAGAAAAACAGAGTCTAGAGTACATAATTCTACACAATACATCAAGTTCTGAGGTATCGTACTACAGTATAGAATACGGAAGTTCTGTCAGTCCACATGAAGAATTGTTGGTATACACAACTTGCTCTCTCACCTGGAACAGATGCTTGAGCGAGGAAAGCCCGAATCATGAGATGTCCCCCCCTCACAAGTAGTATGGAAACAAATGACAAAATTCACTGTTAATCCCTCCGTTTTTGTGACAGACACAGTCCATAAAAGTCACTCGGAACCAGGATGTTGAACCGTTGGGGAGAAAATCCATACTATTAAAGCACCACACGCATGTTGACCATCATGATGGCCTAAATGGCTCAAGGCCAGCGAATTCGTGAATTTGTGTCCAGCCATCTGCTGTTTGGATCAGACTGGTGTTGAGCAGTCACACTGTTTTCGAAAAAGTTTGGTGATAATCGGTAGCTTTTTTGCTGGGCTACGTTACACTTTTGACACAAAAGCTTCGTCAGGCCGGGTGATTCGGTTCCGAGATTGGTCGAGATTCAAGGCGGAAGGAGAACTAATCAGCTAAGTCAAGATAAATCTCTGTCGGCCGAGGGATTTTGGTGTGCTAGAGTGGTTGATCAAGTGTTGGGTCGGTGGGGAAACCTACATGTGTTTGGGTCCTGCCTAGGGTGTAGTTCTTCTGGTTCGGTTCATTTGATGGTTTCTCTTGAACTTCGTTGGAACCTTCTGTCAGTCTGTGTGGGTGAGCTAGTGCTGAGAAGGTTGTGTAAGAGGGATGCTGTGATCTTTGGTCGGTTGGGATTTCCACCCATAACCCCCGGTTTTTTCTAATGATCCTAAGTGGATTGGCAGCCACACCGTCACCCGTCAATTCGGCTTATCTAAGATAGCTTTCCATACGCTCGCTAGCTCCACACCCTCGATTCTATTCACGCTGTGATGCTTGGTGATTTCCACCGCCTCGGCTATCAGCCGCTGTGGTGTGAATCGCAGTCCCCGTCTTAAAACTTCCACATTCTCCAGATCTATTCTATGTCCCGTGTCTAAGGCATGTA